TTCCTCCTCTCTCTCTCTCTCTCTCTCTCTCTCTCTTTCGTACGCGAGTAGCAAAACCAGGCCACCCACCCCGCACTCTCGCACTTGCCCTCCCTCTCTCTCAAAAAACCACACCAACAGAAACCAGGCCACCCACCCCGCACTCTCGCACTTGCCCTCCCTCTCTCTCAAAAAACCACACCAACAGCATGACCAGGGCAGTGGCTCACTCGTTCTCAGAGAAAAATATGTTCTCTCTCTCACTACTCTCCTTCAGCCTCTCTCTAAATCTTCTGCTACCTATGGCTCCGCCTCTCTCCTCTCTCTAACCAATAAGAGAACCTCCCTTTCTCTCTCTGAAAAAACTCTCTACCTCTCTACCTCACCCTTCTCTAGATGTCTCTATCTCTATGGATTTTTAGGTTATGCATTTTTTTTGTCAGATTCCTGATAAGAAATTTGCTTCTCCTATAGATTGGGAAGTTGGAGATATTAGAGAATGTCTTGTGTATTTTAGTACTTGGTTTGCCATCCAAATCTTTGGAAGGTTGCAATATTGGAAGTAATTTTAACTTGTGTTCATATTATCATCATAAATTGAAATGCTGGTGGTGATTTTTTGTCAAGAATATCTCAACAATAAGTATATTTGCATAGATTTTTAAATTGTTTTGTCTCTCTTTATCGTACAATAAAAAAATATCAGGGAATAATTGTAAATTTTAGTTTCTGATTGAAGTAAATGAATCATTTTCCAGCTGCATATGGCTCTCCCGCTCTCTTTCTTTCTATCTATTTCCCTCTATTTTTCCATGAGAATGTACTTTTGCAGTGACTTTTCTGAGAATGCAATAATGGAAGCAATTACCAATGTATTTATACAAGATTTCCTTCTTACAACATCAATCGAAGAGTAAAGATAGTAATAAGCACACTATAATATAGTGTTTGCACTATAATATAGTGTTTGCACTACAATTCTAGTTTCTTTACTTGGATGTAGTATACAGTGTTTGCGTTATACTTCTAGTTTCTTTTATAGTGCTATATCACAATATATGCTATGTCATACATGTAAATATGGTGAATTTTACAGCATTGTGCATATATGTCTAACTGTCGATGTGTTAATTTTGTTTAAAACACATGCATGTCTCCATCTGATGTACCCTAATGCTCAACTACGACTGTACATATATAAATGCATTTTTTGTCACAAAATATCTCTTAACTCATTTGAAGTTTAGTCATTTTTCTTGAAGCCTTTAGGTGCACTAACCGCGATTATGGGACAAAGATGTGTGAACACCCCAAGGAGCAGAGCAGTCCTTGACAAGAGCTTGGAACATCATCAGTCAATGACATCTTCGTGAGAGTGTTATTTATTGTGGATGTGGGCTTTTGTCTCAATGACATTGTCATGAGAGCGAACTTAGATCACATTAAGATTGTTGCTATGTTTGTGGCCCTGAGGTTGTTTTCTTTTATTATGTACCTATTGTTGGCCAGGTTGTTTTTTTTATTCATTAAAACTTTGATGAGTATGTACCTATTGGGACTGCAGTTCTTGTTATATTCATGTCTCTCTGATAAATTTCCTGATGTTATTCTTGACAAATCTCAACTTCAAAGATTTCGTGGCAGCCTTAATTATATCTCGGACTTTTATAAGAGTAGCAATTGTCTGCCAACCATTATTTCAATGCCTTCGCAAGAATCCACCAGATTGGGGGGATGAGCATACACAGGCACTAAAGAAGATTAAACTCAAGACCAAACAGCTGCCTTGCCAGGCTTTTGCTCAGCCAAAAGCCTTTAGAATAATAGAAATAGATGCTTCTGATTTAGGATATGGATGAATCTTAAAACAAAGATTTCACCCTAATGAAAGGGAAAATTTGGTAAGGTTTACTTCTGAGATATGGAATCCAAGTCAAGAAAGAATTTCAACAATTAAAAGAGAAATTTTGTCAATTGTTAAATGTGTTACAAAATTTGAAAGTGACATATTAAACCAAGAATTTCTTATAAGAGTAGATTGTAAATATGCTAAAGATATTATCGAAAAAGCTGTCAAAAATATTACCTCTAAACAGATATTTGCTAGATGGCAGCCATTCTATTTGCATTCGATTTTAAAATTGAATATATAAAAGGGAAAACAAATTCCGTTCCAGACTTTTTGATTCGTGCGTTTTTACAAGGACACCAAAAGAAGAATAGTGAATCAAAGCCCAAGTAGCAATAGGAATACTCCTCCTAAAACAGAGGAGCAGTATAATAAAAATAATAGCTTTGGAATAAAAAAGACAATTCCTTATATTGAAAGGTAGTTCTCCCTATCTTGGTAATAGAAGCCAAACATGCTCTAAACGAGCCATATGATATTGCATAATATTATCTAAAAGATAATTTGCATCCCGAATTAGGGTTAAAGACCTGAACTTATTATGAGAAAATGCTGATTGAAACTAAGTCAGTAAAAATTTTACAAAACTATAGAAATAATAAAATTATTGGATACTCAAAATTTCAAATCCTAAAGATAATATCCTATGAGGATTGGGGCTTCGTCCCTCTAAAAAATAAATACTTAGTAGGACCCTTAAATATGAGGGCCTACAACTATTATGACTATATAAAAGCATGGGATATAGTCATGTTATTCCAAAATGAAATGAGAACCCATAGCTGGTTCCTGCAATTCCGAATGGTCACTAAAACTAGTGAATTCCCTCAATGGTTCAAGAGATGGATGATATATTGGGGTCGATCTCCTGACTTTTATCCCCCAACTCCTAGAGAGTCTTTTGAATTATTCCGCACCTCTAATAAAGGTATAAAATTAATAGACAATTTCATCAGCTTTGTGGCCTTATATGAGGTCACTTGGATTTTAAGATGGGAATATTCGGTATCTCAAAACATTGATGAATGGGATTATATCCCTTATCTTCAAAGAAAAATAATGATAAAATGGTGGGATTCGTTTGAGGAGTCTCATGTATCACAAAAAATATTGATATTATCAGGCTAAAATCAGTCCAAATTGATGAAATAAATCCTAATAAAATTACAGACTATTTTAAATTGCTTAAAAAGCAAAATCCGGAATTATAAAAAACAAAGCTAAAAATGTAGCTGTTAATAGCTCTAAATGATGAAGAAGAGCCAGATAATATGTCAACTACCTCTTCAAAAGAAAATGAAGACTATACACAGGAAAATGAGGATGATTGTTATGGCATCCTGACCCCTCCTAAAGGGTAGGTAAATCAATTTCGGGCCGGCCTGACTCCAACCTAATCCAGGACACAAGGCCCATCAATTGATGAAAGCACTTACGCCATCAGTCCAATTATTGCTCGACAAGATTTACTGTAGCAAAAAAAGAAGAATCTTCATTGTAGCAACTTTTTGTCTTGTCACCCATGTGAAGCTCAAATGAAGCTCATGTGAAGGCATTTGCCTTTTGGACTCAAAACGTTTTCTAGTCCTTCTTATCAGTTATAAAAAGGAAGAGGAGCTCTCATTTCAAGAAGGGGTTTTTGGAGGGTTTAACTCCTTTATGGAAATCGGTCTTTCTCTAAGTCTGTTATGGGTCTGTAATAGTTTGTGTGTTTGAATGTTTGAGAGTATTATGTGTGCCAGCTTGTGATTATCTTTATGAGTGTAATAATGATTGCTATTGGAATAACGTACCAATATAGTTCCTTGAGGAGTGGAAGTTATTTGCAAGTTTCTACTTGTGTGAATTGTAAGTCTCTATTTTGTTTAATAAAATTTGATTAGTCTTCATTTTGTAAATTAATTTGAATAACTTAGTGGTAATTCCTTGAGGAGTGGAAGTTATTTGCAAGTTACAACCTGGGTGAAATGTAAGTCTCTATTTGGTTTAATAAAATTTGATTAATCTTTATTTTGTAAATTAATTTGAATAACCTAGTAGTAAGTGAAAAGTCTCTATTGTGTTTAATTAAATTTGATTAGTTTTTATTTTGTAAATTAATTTGAAGAGCTTAGTGGTATCAAAGACTA